TAAAACTTTATGTTTAAGGCAAGTAAAATTTCAGATTTAGGTAGAAAATTTGCCAAACAAACAAGAGAGGTACGCGCTAAGCTGAAGGAAGAGTACATCTGGCATGCAGATTGGGGGAGGAATTTCCTTAGAGGTAAACGAAAAAGTTTTTCGAAAAGGAGAGATGCGGCAGAAGCAGTTTGAATTCGGTGCAGTACAGTTCGTTTTCCTTGGTAAAATTGTAAAAGTAAATTATTGTTCTAAAATCATTGTTAAAAGTGTTATTAGTGTATTCTACAAGGTTAGTTCTAATTATTTAATCTATTTAAATGTGTAGTAAAATTAACTAAACGTAATATTGTGCATTTTCAAATTGTTAAGCTTATTATTATATAATTATTGCTATTATGAGTATATTTACCCTTTTCTATTACGTTTAGCTATATTTTACGTTATTTTAATCCTTTTCTTTTAGCTATTACCACCCCTATTCTCGCTTTTATTATTATCACTATAATTTTAATGCTTTGCTATGTTCAATGCTTGTGCCGCTCCAATGTAACCTTGTATTTTGTTTGTGTTTAACCCATCATTTTGTACCCTTTTTCTATAACGTGGTTAAGCATTGTTTTATGATCAGTCCAAAGTTATTAATGTATTGCGAAATTACTCGGTGCTTAACCAGGAGTGCTGACCGTTATTGTTCCAACTTTGAGTACTCCTTGTTTGTGTGCGTGGGCCTTTGTTGTATGGACTAATATTTTTCTCCCGTGAGGGGACAAGGTTGCCCTAGGTTCTCTAGGGTTGCTTCGCTTTTCCCCGACCCTTCAACTAAACTAGGCGGGTTGCCTCCCATTGTGGACCCCGTTACATTCTGGGCCTAGCCCGGCTAACTAACCCCAATATTCTTCAGTTTTAAATCTTTGTTTAAATGCAGTATCGAGCCATATCGCCAATACATTAATTTGCGTAATTTTTAAAGTACAATGCCTGACCGCGTATTCCTTTGCTACTTCATAGCCGACCAGGGTTTTTTCTCAGGCTCTTTTTCCCTGGCCGAACCCTCCTAAGAGCCACCCCTTGCTTGTTTGTAAAAAGTTAACGTAAATTAAATTGGGGTAAATTAAGCCACTGTATTTTATTTCTTATAAACCTATTTCTCCCACGTATCATTCTTAAAGCAATGCATCTAATAAAACAAGTAAGTAAACACAGCGTAGAGGTCCAAATTTGGGTAAGACGATCACGAGCCAAAGCCACAAAATATTTAATTTATCAATTTTTCATAAAACTTGTTTTAAACGAACCTGGGGTAAAGAGAAATCTTTACAATAATTATAGGCAAATTTGATTTAAAAGACCTAGACCATAGTTGAGGAGCATCCGTGGAAAACCGGCTATATCCATTTTAATAAATTTCCTGGCCTTCACAGATAAACAAAAATGCAAACTTGAGTTTTGTGGGCTTTATGGTATTTGATTTATAAGACATATGTAGGTACTTTTGTTTTCAAAAACTTTATATTAAGGCCAAAATTCCAAAAAATGTTTTGTATAAGCGCCAAATATTATTTTTGGACTTAACAAATTTTTTTGTAAAATAACTCATTTTTAATAATGCTCAAAAAGTTTATCAATATTTAGAACTTCTTTTAAATTATTGAGAGGACTTTCAAATTATAATTAAGTTTTTGAGCAGCATTAAAAATGAGTTAGGTATAAACAAATAAGTTTGTTAAGCTCCGAACAGATTTTTGGTTCCTTTTAGATAAGCACTATTCAAATAAAGAACCCAATTTCTTATTGTTGTTTGGTCGTTTGGTCGTTGTTTGCCATATATAAATAAATTGACCAGTTGTGAATGTTAATTGACAAATTGCCATGAGAAGCTATCTGTCAAAAAGCAGTTTTTGCAATTCAATGTTACATTTAAATGATATTTAATAAACATAATTTTTAATTTATTTCATACCGCTATTGGAAATTTTTTTAATAAATTTAAAATTATTTTTATTAAAATTGGAAATGTTTCAAATAAATTAAAAATTATTTTTATTTAAATTATTTAAATGTAACATTGAATAATAATAATAATAATAATATTAATATATACAAATCCCCTTGTTTCCCCAATTAAAACTATGTAAAATATCTGGACAACTTGGAAAACCGCCCCAAAGAAAAATGCACTCCAAATAATATTTCAAAAATAAATCATTCTTTAAAATTAAGTGTATTACGAAAGTATTTAACAAAACATTGCCTTTTAATCCACGCCATGTAGAGAACCAAAACATAATTTTGGGAATATAACATCTATTTTGAAAATCAGTAGATACAAATTTAAGAATCCCGCATTATTTTCCCCGCCTTCCTATCAAAAAGTCATCGAGCGTATAGTCCCCATTGTTGCCAGATGTACGGGCTTCGTATACTGCGTAATACTTATACAAAGCTGTATATAATCTCGTTTGACTCTTGTGCCCCCTACCGCCAAAGCATTGGAACTAAGGGTGTATATTTTGATAGGTTTGAATGGCATTAGGAAGCCCACCACTTTTTCGCCATTGAAACAAGGGGGCATCCAGCGCCGTAGCTACAATGGTTCCGTGGGTTCGGTGGAACCAGGCCCGCTAGCTCAAGGGGCCCGCGGCCAGCGATTGGAATAAAAATTTTTTTTTCAAATATTTGGATTAATTTTTTTAAATATATTTTAACATTCACAGGGCATTTATTTATAATAATGGCTTAAGGCTTAGTAAATAGTAAAAGACCACCAATAATAATAATAATAATAATAATAATTTTTGCTTGAATCATGTAAAAGCGAGTCAAAATTAAAACTTAAAAAACTATCAACAACTCGTTGGTCTTCACGCAATGATGCAATAAAGCCCTATGTTTTAGGTATCTTGCTGTTCTTAAGGCCTTTAATTATTTTAACATCTAATAATAAGGCTGAAATAGACGACTCGAAAGGATTTAAAAGTACATTGGAGGACTTTGAAACAGTGTTTTTGATTATTTTACAATCTAACGTTTTAAATCGCATAGACACAGTATCAAAACTCTTACAAAATCAGCAGCAAGATATCCAAAAATCTAGTAAACTTTTAAAAAATGTGTTAAATGACATAAGCAAACTTCGGAATGAATTTTTAGATATAAAAAAGAGGCCAATATTACATCAAGCAAATGGGGTATAATTCCAGAATTTTGCCAAAAACGTATTCGCAAACGTTTTTTTGATGAAGTTGCAAATGACTTTTTTTTTAAACTGCTGAAGATACTTTTAAAGTTGAAGTTTTTTTTAAGACCCTAGATATTATATCAGACAGTTACAAAGTAAAACAATTAGTTTACATCAAATAGCCACTAACTTCAGTATTTTGGAAACAGAAGTTCTGTTAAATTCTACTGATACAGAAGTATACCAAATGGCGGAAAACATTCGTGAAATATATGAAGATGATATTTTAGACTTCCCTATCAATTAATAGCTTTTCAAAAATGTTTTTCTGACGAACTAAAAAATATTAAGTCAGTAAAGAATAACTATGTTTTCTATACCTTACAATTCCTGTGACGGTTGCATCGGCAGAACGATTGTTCTCAAAACTTAAGTTAATAAAAACGTATTTAAGGAACTCCATGAGTCTATATCGATTATCGTCTTTGGCAATGATCTTCATTAAAAATACAGTTGCCCGCTCCATAGATTTTCAAGGAATTATTACAAAATTTTCCGCTGCTAAATCTAGGAAAGTAGCTTTTTAATGGACACACTTCTATTTTTTATGCCCTTATATTTTGTTTATAATATATTATTATAAATAGTTTTATTAGTTTTGGTTTATTTTTCCTGTGTATATATATATATATTTTATATAGTAAAAGTTTATAGACAATATATAGTCTTTTATATTTTCTTCACTATTAAAGCCGTAGATTTAAGGGGGTATAAAGGTTGTTATGTTCCTCCCAAATATAACATAAAAAATATTAATTAGTACAAAATAAAAAAAACACCTAGAGGCCCGTGGGTATAGCCTGGAACCGGGGCCCGTTGGGTTGTTGCTACGGCGCTGGGGGCATCACTTAACTCTAAAACAAATTTATACACGCTAATTTTAGGAAGCCCGATTTCGGGCTTCGTAAAAACCGAGTGGGCTTCGTTTATACTGTAGAATGTAACGTTTCGGGCTTGGTAATGTAGGATTGCATATCTATATATATATATATATATATATATATATATATACCTACCTAAAGTATATTCACAAAATATATTAGTTGCTATTAGGATACACTTAAATTACTCTAAATTTGGTATTGTAATTATTTATCAATACATTTATTTTTTGATAAAAATATATTTTAATGTATTTTGTGTTTTATTAAACTTCATTGATTAAGGTAATTTTAAGTAAAATATTGTCAGATTTTTGGTGCTACTCTGCCGCGTGACGGTAGCAACCATGATGGTACCTACCACTTTCGACACATCCTTTATAATAAAAATAAATCTATTGGATTGAATGATGCATAAATATATTATCCATAAATATATTATTCATATAGGATTTTCCCTATTTAATCTTATCTACACAAGGCCGATAGTTTGCCTGGGCAACGCATTAAATATAACGCCCCGCGGACTTCCTCTACAGGGAATACAAATAAGAAAATTTGGACCTGTCCCAGAAAATAAATACAAAATTTGGTAAATATTAACCCTGTCTTCCTGAAGAAAAGGCTTAATCTAAGTAAAATTTAATATTTTTTAAAATTTAATATACATTTAAATTTAGCAAACAAACTAAATACATACAAATATTGATTTGAAAATTTAATTTTAACAGGGTAAGAGCATTTTCTTAATACAAATTTTCTTAAAGGCAAAATACTATTCACTTATTTAAATAAAACTTTTTAGGCTGGTGCAATCAAAGCTCTAAATTTATATTAAAATATATAAAACTGATGTCATAAAAAAATTAATTAATATAAAAATTAAATACCTAGTATCTAGTTTACTTTCTTCACTTTCTTCATTTTTAGGATTTCCGTTGGTAAACATTTCGCGGGAGGTATAATTAAAAACTTGCTTTTATAATGCAGGAGTGAGTTATACTAAAAATAAATAAATATCTTAGTTAAATATTGGATATCATCTGTTTATTATCGCTCTTTTTATAGGATTTTGACATTTAAAGCAAATATCATAATAAATTAGAAGTGATTCATCCATTTATGTTTATAAGACCCAGCTGATAAATAGAATAGGTTTTTATAACTATGTATCAATAAAATATAAATATAAACACAGCATAAACGTTTATGCATTGATATAAATCTTATAAAAAACCTAATCAGCAATATAACAAAGTACCTATATATATATACAACTTTATATGGTCTCTAGGGTGGTCCACGTAAGGTGACCCATATACTTATCCAGTAGCGTGCAAAGGTGATCGGGGGCCCCCCCGCAAATTTTGAGCTGGGGACCCTTTGTCACTTATACCACCCAATGTGGTTCTCTACGGGGCCCTCTTAAGGTCGGGGGCCCCCCCGCACCGCGGGCCCTGCGGGGCCCGTCCTGCACGCCACTGTACTTATCTCAGAAACTACTGGAGTCACAAAAAATTTGTAAGAAACAAATATTCACGAAGTAAAAAATATTTTTAAAATATTATATTTTCATTTATACAAGGTGTTCGGTTTTCCTTGGGACGATACCAACTTTCTTATTTTCAATGGAACACCCTGTATTTTTTTACATTTTTGGATTCTACCCACTCTTTTAGGTATACTTTAGCGACTGCTTTGGTGCGGGTAGTTGTGTGCAAATTGATCGACGGCGAGGTATTTACAAACTTAACTTTATTATATACACACTTATACACAAACTATATACAAACTTAGCGTGTAGTTACCCGGAGCCGATGTATTCAAGACGAAAAATTAGGACGTAGTGATCGATGACCGCTCTCCGATCTTCCTCCGTTGGTCGGAGTAGGGAGTAGGTATAAAAATATTTCAAACGAGGCAAAAATCCAAAAAGTAATAAAGTCTATAATATTTTTAGATTTAATTTATAAAGGTAAAGGAGAGGTAAAGGTAAGCAAGTAATGCAAATGATGGGAAATTTGCTGTGTTGAAAGAAACGGCTCAGGGTACTAAAATATTTACAACATAATTACGGGTTTAGTCCCCACAATACTTTGTAAATATATTAATTAAGAAAATGTTAATACTTTTTGAGTAAAATTAAGATTTATTAAAATTTCTCTAAATGTAGACACTCGCTAAAAGTTAAAAATAATCAACTAAAAGTTATTATTTTTTATATTATGCAGCATCCATCTCTAATAAGTAAGCTATAAGTTAATTATTATATTTTTTGGAAAATATCATACAGGAGTTTTCTATATCCCGTTGAAAATAGCGATTTTAAAAGTTTAAAATCTTGTTTTTCTTCAATGGAACACCCTATATATTTTTGCATAATTGGATAGAATAAGTAATTACCTTTCATTTTATATATATACAGGGTGGCCGATTTATCTGAAGACATTGAAATATTTCGAAAACTACGCATCGGATCAAAAAAAGTTTTGAATAAAATTTGTTCGCCTGGAAGGGGGCCATCCAATGATACCAAAGTCGACCCTCACCACCACCCCCTGGGGTGGGGGTGGGGGCAACTTTATAATTCTAAATAGGAACCCCCATTTTTTATTGCAGATTCGGATTTCCCATTAAAAAATAAGTAACTTTTATGGAAAAACTTTTTTTAATTCCTGATAGATGGCGCTGTAATCGCAAGAAACCCGATTTTTGGAAATATCTTAAAAAATTACACATCGGATCGAAAAAAAGAAAAACTTGTTTAATTTTTGGATTTTATTCGTATATCAATAAGTTAACATCTATTTTTAACGTTACGCAAGAACAAGGACCAGGACGCAGTAGTTTTTTGTTCCCATCGGGGTGCTAGTTTTAAGAGAGTCCCCCTGCCTCTTACTGTTTAATAAATTAGATTAAATGTTCGAAATTGTGACCTTGAACTTCTAGACACTTATTTATTCTTTTTTCAAATGATTGCACCAAGGAGAGGAGCATATCTGCGGGAATTTCAGCACAAGCGTTTCTTATGCGCTGTATCATGTATTCCCGAGTTGTTGGTGCTTGTTGAAAAACCTTATCTTTTAGATAACCCCACAGAAAAAAATCCGGCGATGTCAAATCAGGTGACCTAGCAGGCCAATTAACCGGGCCACCTCTGCCGATCCATCGGCCATTGAAATCACGGTTCAATAATTCCCGTGCTGTTGCTGAGTAATGGGCTGGGCAACCGTCATGCTGAAACCACATAATTTGTCGAATGGGCAGGGCAACATCCTCAAGTAGAGGTGGTAGTTCATGTTCCAGGAAATTTCGATACTTGATTCCATTTAAGGTTCCATAAATGAAATAACCAATGAGTTTGTTACCTAAAATTCCACACCAAACGTTAACCGACCAGGTTGATGTTCAACTTGTCGTAACCAGTGGGGATTGTCCACACTCCAATAGTGCATGTTATGCCGTAACGGAACCATGGTTTGTGAATGTGGATCATTGCCATGAAGTTCCTGATGCAGTGAAACCCGGTATGGGTGATACTTGTGACGATTCAATATTCTCCGAATACTATCTCTGGAAATCCCGAGATCCCGATGTATTTCCCGAGTGCTTACATGAGGGTTATGTTGAACAGCTGCTATCAAATTAATTTCATTAGCTTCTCCTGTGACAGTGTTTCTTCGTTTTCTTTTTTTAAGTTGTTCACTACCGTCGGATTTAAAGGATTGAACAACTTTATAAAAAAACGAGCGTGAACGAATATTATCTGGAAAACGTTCAGCATATAAGGCAACAGCATCGTCAATATTCCGCCTACATTCTCCGAAAATCATTTCAATTTTTTCTTCTACGGTTGCAGCATTCATTTCTCACTCGTACGTTTCTAAATCAACTGCGAATGTTGCGTCTATAAAAACGGAACATGTTTTTATAGACGCATAAGTAAGGTATAAATATTTTTAATTTGTACCAACATCAAAAGGAATTAATTAATTTAATTTATTTTGAATTCCCTAACAATTCTCGTATACACTAATTATAATTTTTAATGGGAAATCCGAATCTGCAATTTTTCAAGATATTCCCAAAAATAGGGTTTCTTGCGATTACAGCGCCATCTATCAGGAATTAAAAAAAAGGTTTTCCATAAAAGTTACTTATTTTTTAATGGGAAATCCGAATCTGCAATAAAAAATGGAGGTTCCTATTTAGAATTTTAAATTTGCCCCCACCCCCACCCCAGGGGGTGGTGGTGAGGGGTCGACTTTGGTATCATTGGATGGCCCCCTTCTAGGCGAACAAATTTTATTCAAAACTTTTTTTGATCCGATGCGTAGTTTTCAAAATATTTCAATGTCTTCAGATAAATCGGCCACCCTGTATATGTCCTATACCTTAACCTAGGTTAGCTAACAGAAAAAAAAATATTCGCATTTTTTACAATTAGTAGCTTTTTTCCAATTACCTTAGTTAAATTTTCATTATTCAAATAAATAAATTTCAATAACAACAAATAAAAATGCTTTTATATAGACCCATATACTTATCTCAGAAACTACTGGAGTCACAAAAAATTTGTAAGAAACAAATATTCACGAAGTAAAAAATATTTTTAAAATATTATATTTTCATTTATACAGGGTGTTCGGTTTTCCTTGGGACGATACCAACTTTCTTATTTTCAATGGAACACATTGCATTTTTAGATTCTACACACTCTTTTAGGTATACTTTGTAAATATATTAATTTAGAAAATGTTAATACTTTTTGAGTAAAATGAGGATTTATTAAAATTTTTCTAAATGTAGACATTCGCTAAAAGTTAAAAATAACCAACTAAAAGTTATTATTTTTTATATTATGTAGCATTCATCTCTTTAATAATAAGTAAGCTATAAGTTAATTAATTTATTTTTTGGAAAATATTATACAGGGTGTTTTCTTTGAATAATGAAAATTTAACTAAGGTAATTGGAAAAAAGCTACTAATTGTGAAAAATGCGAATATTTTTTTTTCTGTTAGGTTTAGGTATAGGACATATATATATAAAATGAAAGGTAATTACTTATTCTATCCAATTATGCAAAAATATATAGGGTGTTCCATTGAATAAAAACAAGATTTTAAACTTTTAAAATTGCTATTTTCAACGGGACATAGAAAACACCCTGTATGATATTTTCCAAAAAATATAATAATTAACTTATAGCTTACTTATTATCTTATTATAAATCTTAATTTTACTCAAAAAGTATTAACATTTTCTTATTTAATATATTTACAAAGTATACCTAAAAGAGTGGGAAGAATCCAAAAATGCAAAAAAATACAGGGTGTTCCATTGAAAATAAGAAAGTTGGTATCGTCCCAAGGAAAACCGAACACCCTGTATAAATGAAAATATAATATTTTAAAAATATTTTTTACTTCGTGAATATTTGTTCCTTACAAATTGTCATTATTTTGTTTACCTAGTCTTCGACTGATGAACTATGTTTCAAATTGGTATTAATGAGTTGTTTTAATAAGCCAACTTTTCGTTTTAATCCGCTGTCTTCAAAAGCCTTTGGCAAATTTTCCCATACATGTTTTGTTTTGTTGTCTTTTTGAATATGTAGGAACATATAAAATCGGGTTAACTAATAGTATTAACTTTGGCTTGTTTAACTAATTTTGGGTCGGTAGTACCTACTATCTGGTTCATTTAAAACACAGCTATACAAATTTTTATGCTCCCAGATAACATTATGAGGTTCATAATCTACGCATATTGCAGTCACAACGTGATTGTAATCCGCACGTATATACGCGTATGCACGAACAAATGCATCATTTGCGTCATCAATTAAGGTTCATATAGCCAGCACCTGTGATGGTTGGAGGAACATTGCGAGGTTCATAATTTACGCATATTGCAGTCACAACGTGATTCTTAATCCGCACGTAGGTCACATATATGCAT